ATAACTGATTATTATTTTTATATTAATTACTTTTTATTGTTATTGTTCTTTTATTTTCTAACCTATCTTTCTATCTATTTATCAGTTTCTTTTTCAGTGGAAAATATTAAAATGGCTGTCTGATTTATTTATAAATCACTAAATAAATATGAAAATCAGAACTTTTCATTCTTTTAATTCTCTGACTTTTGCCCGCTCAATCATTCATTCATAACGAATTGAAACTAAAAAATTATACATATACTATACACATGTATGAGCAAATTAATAAATATATTTATATATAAAAGGAAAGAATTTTATTCTTCAAAATTATAATAACAATAATAATAAATTTAATAATTAAGATAATAATAATAATGATAATAATAATAATAATGGACTATAACAACAATAGTGATAAATATCCATTAATTTCGTCTTAACTTGAATTAAACAAGAATGCTAAAAATGGAGAGTGAAAAATTATAAATAAAAAACAAAAAAATGATCACATACACACACATACATACACACTCACACATACAAACACACATATACCAACACTCATACACACACACACATACATACATACATACATCCGTTTGCAAACAAAACCTTGTCATCTGCAAAACAAACAAATTGATCGATATAGCGTTTAAGCATTCTTGGGTTATTTTTTGTTTATTCTTATTATTGTTTATTATTATTATTATTATAATTGTTCATTATTATTATTATTATTATTTAGTATTATTTTTGCGGCCTATTAAAATTATTTATTCAGTCATTGTTGACATTTTATCTTAAAACACACAAACGAAGCGTTGTTTGAAAAGTATGGAAAATCAAAGAGGTATAAACATACATATATAAATAAATATATATATATATATATATATATATATAGAATAGATATATATGTTTATATGTATGTACACACAGATATATATATATATATATATATATATAGAAAGAGAGAGAGAGAGAGACTGGATTGATGGATTGACTTATTATCTGCTCCAATGATCAGGCAAATATCTGGCTTTATGACCTTTTAAGTTAACCTTTGACCTTTGTATGTATGTATGTGTGCGCGCGCGTGTGTGTGTATGTGTACATGTATATATTTGTATATATTTTTATAGGTAGGAATGTTCATATGTACGAATGAATGAATGAATGAACGAATGATTGAATGAAAACTTCATCAGATGTGTCACTTCATAAATATACGAACGATTATAAAAATAATTATATTATTAATAATGTTATATTTAATACTTTCTTATTAATTGATCATAATGATATTATATTTAATATTTGGCATCAATTGATTGAGCATTCACTCGTTGGATTTTATAATTAGGTTCTCTTATTTAAAATAATTAGATTGGTGTAGGTGTCCCAAGTGCAATCATAGGTATTGATCATGTTGTTGTTGTTGTTGTTGTTGTTGCTACTGCTGTTGTGTTGATGTTGTCGTGTTGATGTTGTCGTGTTGATGATGTTGTTGTTGACGGTAATGATGATGTTGTTGTTGTGGACGACGACGATGATGACGTCACGTCCGTTGTTTATTTCCGCTTTCGATATCGGAATATTCGTAATAATTGGTAATAAAGTAGGCGATAATTAAGCAGAGATTGGACGCGCGGGACCATAGAAAACCCCAATAGATAAATAAATAAACAAGCAAATAAACAACAACATAGATAACAAGTAATAACAATGACACCATAGACACACGTGACCATAGAAAACACAAATAAATAAATAAATGAACAAAAAAATAAACAACAACAACAACATAGATAACAAATAACAACAATGACACCAACTATAACAACAACAACAATAATAATAATAATAAGTATTTTCTCATTCCACTGGCACTCCATTACTAAGTGAGTAATTGGAAATAAAGACAGCCACGTGAAATAAACCAACATTAACAATAAAAATAACAATAAAATAACAATAATAATAACAATGAAATAACAGAATAATAATAATAATAAAATTACAATAATAATAATAGTAGTAGTAAAAGCCAGAAATAGAGAAGTATTTGTTTCAAGGAGGCCACCAAATAACAATCATTTATTCATTCATTCATTCATTCATTCATTCATTCATTCATTCATTCATTCATTCATTCATTCATTCATTCATTCATTCATTCATTCATTCATTCATTCATTCATTCATTCATTCATTCATTCATTCATTCATTCATTCATTCATTCATTCATTCATTCATTCATTCATTCATTCATTCATTCATTCATTCATTCATTCATTCATTCATTCATTCATTCATTCATTCATTCATTCATTCATTCATTCATTCATTCATTCATTCATTCATTCATTCATTCATTCATTCATTCATTCATTCATTCATTCATTCATTCATTCATTCATTCATTCATTCATTCATTCATTCATTCATTCATTCATTCATTCATTCATTCATTCATTCATTCATTCATTCATTCATTCATTCATTCATTCATTCATTCATTCATTCATTCATTCATTCATTCATTCATTCATTCATTCATTCATTCATTCATTCATTCTACATTACAACTATTACAACTATTGTTTGTGCCTTTGTGTTTGCAAGTGCGAACAAATAGTGGTAAACATTGATTTTTGCTTCACATGCTATAAATATGTATATATACGTTCAGTGTGTGTGTGTGTGCCCGTGTATGTGCAAGTGTGTGTGTATGCGTGTGTGTGCATGCGTGCGTGCGTGTGTGTGTGTGAGGTCAAATTGTTGTCATCATTTCATTGCCATCATTATGTTAAAAAGGTATTATTTATTAGTTGTGATGTAGATTTAGCTACATGAATTGGATTTCAACGGCAGCCACTGCAGCCACAACAACAACATCAACAACAGCAACAACAACATCTACAACATCAACAACAACATCAATATCAACAACAACATCAATATCAACAACAACAACAACATCAACAACATCAACAACAACATCAACAATAACAACAACATCAACAACAACATCAACAACATAAACAACAACATCAACAACATCATTAGCTATTTGTGGAATGAGGCGACAAACGTGTCTGTTAAACAATTTCTCTTCATTGGTTGTCGTGTTTGTTTGTTTTTTATTCCTTTATTTCCTCACTCATTTGTTCAATTATTTTTAGATTTTATCTGTTGTTCATTCACTCATTTGTTTGTTCACTCATTGCTTCATTTGTTTGTTCATTCATTCCTTCATTTGTTTGTTCATTCATTCCTTCATTTGTTTGTTCATTCATTCATTCTTTTGTTTGTTCATTCATTTGTTAGTTCATTCGTTAATTTAATCAAACATTTGTTTATAAATTTTCATTCATTCACATTTTCATTCACTTTGTCGCAAACTGATGTATGTTTGTTCTGTAGGGCAAAACTACATGTAGATAAATTGCTCAATTATATATTTTTGTTTCTTTGTTTATTCATTTATTAATTAATTCGTTCATTTAATCATTCACTAATTCATGCATTCATCCCATCCAGTTATTCTGTCGTACATTGACTAGTCGTTCATTTATTCGCAGATTCAATTTTCATTCGATCACTATTTCATTAATGCACTAATTAATTAATTAATTCATTCATTCATTGTTCATTCACTCGTTCATTCAAACGTAGAAGTTTCTATTCATCCGTCTACCCCGATTTAAAAATTCGCTCGTGCATTCATTCCTTTATAAAACCATGAACAATGAAGCCATCAGTTTTTCTTAAATCCTCATTCATTCGTTTATTTTGTCTTCGTTTGCTCATTCATTCATTCATTCAAACGTTTGTTCGTTCGTTCATTCAAGCGTTCGTTCGTTTGTTCATTCATGGGTTCTTTCATTTACAGAATGATAGAAAGCTAAATAAGAAGATAAATAATGAAAAGGATGCGAACAACAAACAAAAAATTTAAAAATTGATAAAAAAAAGACCAAAGAAGCATGGTATCAAATACCAAAATGTTTAAAAAATATATACATTCGCTTTTCCTCCACGCTTTCCATGAAAAAAACTCAAAAAAACCAAAAATACTAAATGACTAAAAAAAAACACAGTAGGTAAAAACTTGAAAGCATACAGGATGAAAGGATTAGTGAAATGGGTATTAGTGTATATAGTAGGGATGTGCGTGTGTGGCCTTTTGGGGATGTGATGTAATGTATCCTATCTCATATTGTACGCATTCGTACATACATTCATACATACACAAATGACAGATGGATATATATATATATATATATATATATATATATATATATATATATAAACATTGTTCAAAATTACAATTGTTGTAAACATTAAATACAGACATACACACATACATACAAATAAACAAACATACAAATATGCATACAGACATGCGTACGTACATACATACATTCATATTTAGGTAAATTTTTTCGTGATTTGGGATGATTGTTAATTTAGCATCGTTATGTAAGTTAGTGGTCATTATGTTTTTCGCGCAAAATTTCTATTATTTAGTATTATTATTATTGTTGTTGTTTTGGTTGACGATGACGACGATGACGTAAGCATCGTTGTTGACATCTTCTGTTGCTAACAATTGAATAGTTTAAAAGTGATATAATTGAATGAGAGAGATTTCTGTAAAAAAACTTTTAACAAATTTGCACTCGTGGGAGAAAGCAAATTCTTGCTTTTTGACATTTAAAGTTATGCGCTAAAAAATGCTTTAAAATATTATTCTCTAGAAAACATGAAAAAGATGATGATGGCGATGACGGTGAAAATGATGAGGACGATAATTGATGTATCATCGCGAGAAAATTTTCACGAAAAGCAAAGAAAGAACAACGTTTCTTCGAAAATCAATTTGACGTTTTTGCCTTTCGACAACAAAAAATATTTTTTTCCAACGCTAAATTTAAAAACCTCTAACGATATTACAAAAAATATCAAAACAAGAAATTAAAAATAATAAATGGCGGCATAACTTAACGGCTTATTTATGCTTTTTGGTAACAATTGTGACGTCAGAAGCATGACGTAATCTCCTCCAGCCTCCAGACCACACATATTTTTGTCTCTTCCGCCTCATCTCTAACTCCAGGTCAAATGATGACTTGTTGATGCTGTTGTTGTTGTTGATGTTGTTGTTGATGTTGCTGCTGTCGTCGTTGTTGATGTTTTTGATGTTGTCGTTGATTTCGTTGTTGTTGTTTTTGATGTTGTTGATATTTCTAGTGGTACTTTCAAAGTTATTTTCCTCCCGTCTTAGGTCATTTATCTCGCAGTCGTTCTCAACATCATTATAAACATTCACCAGGATGTCTTTGTTGGCGTTGCTATCATTATTATTATTATTATTTTGGTCGTTGTTGTTGTTGTCATTTTTGTTGTTATTGTTGTTGTCTTCGTCATTATTATTGGTGAGCGTGCACAACTCAAATGTCGTTGGATTCCTGGCGCCACTAGCTCTATTGTTAGCTGACTTCCTGGCCACAGCCACCATCATCGTCGTTGTCGTCTCGCTTTCAAACGCCCGTCGACCCAAGCTAAAAAGTTCGCAAAAATTCCGCCTAAACTGCTGACTCATGGCGCAGTATACAAAAAAATTACACGGGTAGCTAATAATTATAGCTAAGTTGACCAACAGAGCTGTATTTTCGCGAGCGTTTCGGCTAAGTATGTAATATTCCCATGTGTTTTCCACAAAATTTACGATTATGAAGATAGCTAAGGGTAGTTCAACTAGTAGAAATATGCCTACAACTACTATTAGCATTCGTGTTGTTGTTTGGGAGTCTGATGATGATGTCGTTGTTGCTGATGATGCTGCATTTTGTTGTTTTAGTTGTTGCGGTAGAAATAGTTGTTGGGGTGGTCTTGTACGTTTTTTGTTGTTGTTGTTGTCGTTGTTGTTCGGATTGATGACGGTGAATGTTTCAGAAACTTCATTTGGCGTCATTTGTAAACGAGGCTGATGTTGACGTTGTTGTTTTTGCTGCTGCTGTTGATGATGTTGTTGATGATCTTGTTGACGGTGTTGATGCAGTGGCTTAAACTCGACTTCCGAAAATGATGTAGATGCTGATTTTTTTTGACAGATTACTTCGTTCTTACTTTGATTAATATTATTTTCATTACTGTTTATAGTAGAAAGAGTAGTAGAAGAAGTAGCGACAGTAGTAGCGGTGGTAGTAGTAGTAACGGCTGCAAGTACACTATTAAAATCATCATTAGCTGAAGTATTGAAATTAGCAGCAGTAGTAGTAGTAGTAGTAAAAGTACCAGCTGTGGTGGAGGTAGTAGTAGTAGCAGCAGGAGTAGTAGAACTACTACTACTACTACCGGTAGTAGTAGTATTAGCAGCAGCAGTCGCGGTAGAAGTAGCAGTCTTGGACATAGCAGGTGTTGTTTCACAGTAGATTTTATTTTCGGATGTGGCATATGTGTTGGATAGATTACAAAAACCAAGTGCTGAGTCATAAGCTGGCGTTTTCTTGATGTCTTGGCTGTTGTTGTTGATGTTGTTGATGTTGTTGTTGATGTTGTTGGTGTTGTTGTTGATGTTGTTGGTGTTGTTGTTGATGTTGTTGGTGTTGTTGTTGTCTATGATGTTGTTATTTTTCTTCGTACATTTTTTCTGGCTATTAACGATGATGTTTTGGCTGTTGTTGTTGATGTTGTTGGTGTTGTTGTTGTCTATGATGTTGTTATTTTTCTTCGTACATTTTTTCTGGCTATTAACTTCTTTGAAATTTAAACTACCAACGTCATTTTTGTCCTCATCATCTTCATCCTCTTCATCCTCCTCCTCCTCATCATCAACATCAAAAACAACATCACCATCACAATCATCACCACCATAATCATCACCACCACCACCATCTTCATCATCACCATCATCGGTAGCACATGGAATATAGCGAACGCCTTCACTCATTGTGCTACGGGATGGAAGTATTTCAATGGATCGATTTGCTGGCATCAATCTATCATCATTAAAGTCATCATCATTATCATTATTATTATTATAATTATTATTATTTACATTATTATTACTATTTGTTCTTACACCTTCGAATTCATCGTTAAAATTAACTCGTCTGTACTTTACACTGAAAGTATGGAAGTCTTTTGTGCTGTTTTTGGCGTCAGCGGTGTCGTTGTTATTATTATTATTATAATTATTATTGTTATTATTATTGTTATTATTGCTGTTGTTGTTGTTATAAATGAATGGATCGTTGTCGTTGTTGTCGTTGTTGCTGTAGTTGTCACTTGTAAACAATCTTTCGTTTTTAATAACAACGTCGTCGTCATCACCGTCATCTTTATTATTATCATTGTTGTTGTTGTTGTTATTGTTGTTGCTTTTATCATTATTATTATCGTCGTCGTAGGGGCGATTGTAGACGCTACTACTGACCGGTTTGTCGTCGTATCCGTGGGTAACATTACTACCCAACTCGCTGGGCGCATTCTTTCCATTGGTATCTTCCATTGGCGATTTTACCCATACCTCCACATAGTAAATTAATCACGTGATTTCTATAATTAATCACGTGATCTCTATTAATTGCGTGCTCCTTTCTATCCTCACTCCTCGGAGCATTGCAAACACACCACATCCAGCAGCAGCAGCAACGGAATCGGCAATTTTTGCAATCAACATTCTCTTCAAGCCCGGTACAACACCGACGAAAACGCCCATCCCTAAAACGCCCATCTCTGATCGGTCCAATTCTTGACCCCTCATTCCAGACTCTCCTCTGCCTAGAGAGGAACAACTTCCTCCTCTTAGCTTGGGCTCTCCGGATCGCTCGAATCAACGCGGCGTTCAGTAGCACCAAAACTAAGCACGGCAAAAAATGAACGAATAGCAACCTAAACCATAACAGAAACCCAAAATAGACCTGCACGTTGTCCTCAACGAACTCATTCAAGTGGAACACGCAGGTCAAAATGGTCGAGTTTTCCAGAAATTTTGAAGATTTTTCAACCGGAACGAACCTGCCCTCAAAATAATGTGACATTTGCATGAGGAGAGCCACAACATACGCCAGAACAATCATCTTGACGGTTCGCTTCTGCGTACAGCCCCTCCTAGCGACAGCAGACCTGCAGACGTAAACATACCTCTGGCAGGCCAAGATTGTTGTCAGCCAGATAGACGTCGTGTGAAAAGCTGTGGGTAGGTAGTCAGTAAGGGTGTAGAAGGCAAGGCACCAGCTGTACGGGATGTAGTCAGGTGTCTTGTTGAATGTGTAAAAGTAGAGAAAGCAAGGAAGTGGTAGTAGGCCCGTGGTGGAATCTGAGATGGCGAGACTGAAGAGGACCGTGTTTGTGCTCGACCGCATGGGCTTCTTTAAGAGGACAGCACACACCAGGCAGTTTGTTATAATCTGAATGTGATGTTGATGTGATGATGTGATGTAGTGATGTTGATGTGACGATGTTGATGTGACGATGTTGATGTGATGTTGATGTGATGATGTGACGTTGATGTGACGACGATGATGATGTGATGTTGATGTGACGATGTTGATGTAATGATGTGATGTTGATGTGACGACGTTGATGTAATGATGTGATGTTGATGTGACGATGTTGATGTGATGATGTGACGTTGATGTGACGACGATGATGATGTGATGTTGTGATGTTGATGTGACGATGTTGATGTAATGATGTGATGTTGATGTGACGATGTTGATGTGATGATGTGATATTGATGTGATGATGTGACGATGGTGTGTGACTTCATGATGATGGGAGGAGTGAGTGAGGACACGATGACAACCAGAATCTCGTCTGTCACGTGCTTTATGTGTGACTCTTTATTTACTTTAAAAAAATGCAACATCAACGTACAACAACAACAACAACATACAACAACAACAACAAATTACATACAACAACAATAACAAATTACATACAACAACAACAACATCAACACCAGCAACAACAACAACAGCAACACCAGCAACATCATCAACAACATACAACAACGACAACGATAATAATAACTAGTAACTGGCGGTAAAAATACTAACAGTAAATACAACAAAAACAGGAGTTGCATAGCCAAGTATGGGAAGGGTGAAGTTGTTGAATTCAATATAGTGGAATTCTGTCTCTGAATAATTTGCCTTCGTTAAATAACTCTCATTGTTGTTGTAGTTGTTGTTGTTGATGTTGTTGTTGATGTTGATGTCTGTGTTGTTGTGTGTTGTGTCATTGATGTTGTTGTTGATGTTGTTGTTGTTGTTTGTGTTGTCACAAGCATTTCCCATTTTTTTGTCTTTTTGCTGATGTTGTTGATGATGGCGTTGTTTTTGCTACTGATGTTGATATTGTTGTTGTTGTTGATGTTGTGGATGTTGTTGTTGATGTTGTTGTTGATGTTGTTGTTTTTGTTGTTGTAGTTTGTTTTTCTATAGACCAGTAACTTTCTGAAAAAATTGCATAAATGTTGATCGTGATCAATATGTTTTTTTGTGTTTATAAAGGGAATTAGCAACAACAACAACAACAACAGCAACAAAAACAAATACAACAGCAACAGCAACATCAACAACAACAGCAACATCAACAATAACAGCAACAACAACAAAATGAAAAGTGGGAGAAGCATCAACAAGCGAGCGCATGTTTTATCACGTTGAAACGAATTTAGCATATTTTTATTGCTGTTATTATTATTATTATTATCATTATTATTATTATTGATGTTATTATTAATGTTATTAACGCTGCTGTCGTTATTGTCATTATTGTTTGATGCAATTTTGTCAAAATAATTATTTCATTTTCCCGCCTAAAATCTGTAAGAAACATTCTTATATTGATTGAAAAAAAAGCTATGGCTACTACTACTACTACTACTACCACTACTACTACTACTACTACTACTACTACTACTACTACTACTACTACTACTACTATTACTACTACTACTACTACTATTACTACTGCTACTACTACTACTACTACTACTAATAATAATAATAATAACAATTATAATTATAAATAACATTAGTAATAATTTTTTGCCATTAAGTGCAAGCCTTTTTTTGCTCATTCAAAATGTCTTTTTCCATTCTTCTTTTCAAATAAACATGTGTGTGTGTGCGTGTCTGTGTGTTTGTTTGTTTGTGTATGTGTCTGTGTGAGTGAGTGTGTCTGTGTGTGTGAGTGTTTCTGTTTGTAGCGCGCTTCAATCTAAAGGTTTTTTATCCATTAAGGATTTCATCAATATTTATAAATGAACACTCCTTAATTAGCAGATTGTTTCTTAGAAATTTATTTCTTTTAAAAATAGATACATACAAACAAACAAACAAACAAATGAGCATCCACACATTAACAAACACACACACACGCAAACATACACTACGCATACACACACAAACACACACACACATACAAACATACGTACAACAAGCCTTACTTTAACCCAGATGACAAATTTCAAAGAGCCTACACGCCCATAAAATGTATCCTTTGGGCGAAAATTAATGCCAACAATTCTCAACACATTTTGCAAGGAAAGCAAACATAAAACTATTTTATTTATTCATTTGTATGTATGTATGGATGTGTGTGTGTGTATGTGTTTGTATGTGTAAGTGTGTGTGTGTGTGTGTGTGTGTGTGTGTGTGTGTGTGTGTGTGTGTGTGTGTGTGTGTGTGTGTGTGTACGATTGAACAAAAGAAGAATGTTTATGTAAATATTACTACACTTGTAAACGCTTTTAAATCAACGTTTTATAAGTCACTTTATCTTTCGTTCTCTTACTCTCTCTCTCTCTCTCTCTCTTTCTCTATCTTTGTCTCTCTCTCTCTCTCTCTTTTCTTTTTCTACCATCTTTTTATTTCTTCATCAATATTTTTTCTCCATATTATCGTCTTTCTATCTGACTTGCTCGTTCAAAAATTGATGCTAAGCGTTTGATATTCTATAAGAAGTAGAAAAAAATCTAGAAAATTCTGGAACATTCTAAAAAGTTTTAAAACATTTTCGTTAAGTTAGACCAGACAACTTTCATCGCGGCCGAATTATTATTCATGACGCGGCGTATATGACGTAAAAGCAGCTTTATCCAAAGATCGTAAATTCTCGAGAGTAAACAAAAAAAATTAAAAACGGTTTGCCAGAATGTGTGAGTAAGTAACCGAACGAACGAACAAAAGAAAGAAATAACGAACAAATGAACGAAAAAACAAACGAATGAACGAAAGATAAACGACTAGAGGCAAAACAATTATAATTTTAAGCTGGCCATCAGAACAGACACATAGAATGTTGTTTTTTTGTTATATATTAATCACCCAACATAAATCTTTCATGTTAAATAATCCCTAGTTATATGCATGCATACACACTCACGCACACATGCACGCACACACACACAAACACACACGTACACATAAACACATAAAAACGCTTGCATCGAAAAATTTAGGGATCTCCATTAAAAAAAGAAGAGCTCATCTTAATCTACATTCGTGTGAAGAAGATTTTTTTTTAGTTTTTACTTATCACATTTATTTC